CAGTCCAGTTTATGACAATAATATTATCACACATATATTACCCCAAAATCGTGATTATTTCGGCCAAGGTAATGCTGAAAACAATACTATCCCATTTTCAAAAATTCCACATAATATATTTTCTTATACCAAGGAAGTTCATACTTTTGATAGCAATCCTTTGGAAATATATATTGATAGTCAACCAGAGTTTAGAGCAAGAACTAATAAATCATCCATTCTCACAAAAAACTCAAAACATATAGATAAGAATACCGTACCATACGAATCTGAAAGAGACATACCAATCACTGTCAGTTCGTCTGAAATTAGTATTTATAAACAACATAACAAAACTTTGAATAATTTCTGCAAGACATTAGATCCTAATACTGAGTCAGATACAGATGAGTCCAGGTCAGCAGTGAAACACGTGAGTCTTACAGAAAGTTTTGATCGTAATAGATCCCAACTAGCACATTTGCTTGAAGAAATTTTTAGCCACAATTCCGATAGTAATAACCGTTATGACCCAAATAAAAAACAATTTGGGAAAAGTAATCAAGGTGTTGGTTCGGACACTGACAGAGACTATATAGCCAATCAAGAGAAACGTGCGGGTTTTTCAGAAAGTGGAAACTTTAGTAAAAATAGTCTAGTTGGTCAAAATAATCTTTCCGAAAAGGGACAAGAGAGAATACATCTAAATATTGGACTTGATAAATATTGGGTTGGTGCTAACCTGAATATTGGACAACGAGATAACCAAGGATGCTTTTATGATTTAATAGATAGCCAAAGTGACTCAGGAGATGTACAACAATTTACTAAACTTTCTCCGGTAAGCAAAGAGCGATTAAACCAAAGTGTTGCACAAAGAGATATCCAAAGCAACTTAATCAGTACCAAACACACTTTTGAACCAAATCGACACAACTCAAAACAGATTATTCAAAGTGATACGGATGACTATAAACGAAGTAGTCAAAGTGATACGGTTGACTATAAACGAAGTAGTCAAAGTGATACGGTTGACTATAAACGAAGTAGTCAAAGTGAAGCAAAGCAGAAAATTATAGAAAGTGCTTCGACCAATACACAATGTTTTAATGAAAGTGATTTAAGTAATACGCGACGATTAATTCAACATAATCTAAACAGTGTACATCAAAATAACCAAGCTAATTCAGATAGTAACTTAAAATGTTTCCAAAATAACCCAGAAAATACAAATCGCCACTGTCAATGTGTCTTAAAACTTCCTTTTAATGTTGAACCAAATGAAAAAACTAATGCTCAGAGAATTAGTCAAAGTGTTCCAGACTTTACAAATTTAACTCTTCAAATCAATTCAAATGGTGTATATGACAGCAAAATGGCAAAGCGATTCAATCAGTACAGTTTAAGTAGTGTACAAAATATTGGCCAGCACTGTGACTGCGTTATCCAATACGGTCTTGAGAAATTACAAACGCATATCAATTCTACCACTGTACAAGGAGACATTTCAGAGGGCTCATTTAATACGCTAGAAAACGTCCAAGAAGACATAAAACCTGTTGAAACATTTAAAAATTATAATAAAGATGGTACAAATACCGTTATTACAGATGATCTTGAAAATATAAAACAAATTACTCAAAGCAGGTCAGATGTTACACAAGTTTCCCAATATAACCCAGACAGTAAACAGCAAGTTTTTGAACATGATTTACATAACCAACAAGAAACTGTTGAAAAAGATCTAAATAAAACAGAACAAGTTGTCCAAGATGCTTCATATGCACACGTTTTCCAAGATGATCCACAGGACGATAAACAAGAAATTATACAAGATTATTTAGAAAGTGAACAAGGATTTATCCAAGATGATTTAGACAGTGAGCAAGGAATTGTCCAAAATGATTCATTTGGTGCACAAACCCTTCTCCAAGATCATTCAGACATCAAACAAGGGATTATCCAAGACCATTCAGACGGTAAACAAGATATCTTCCAAGATAATTCAAATGGCGAACAAGAAGTTAGCCAAGAGTATTCAGATGATAAACAATATATTATCCGAAGTCTTTCAGGTAGCAAACAAGAAATTATCCAAGGTGATTCATACAATCAACAAGAAGATATCTTATATCATTTAGATAGTAAAAAAGATATCTTTCAAGATAATTCAAATAGCAAACAAGAAGTTAGCCAAGAGTATTCAGATGATAAACAAGATGATTTATACGATAAACAAAAAGATATCCTATATCATTTAGATAATAAACAATATATCTTCCAAGATATTTCAAATGGCAAACAAGAAGCTAGCCAAGATTATTCAGATAATAAACAAGATATTATCCAAGGTCGTTTAGATAGCAAACAAAAAATTATCCAAGATGATTCATACGATAAACAAGAAGATATCTTATATCATGTAGATAGCAAACAAAAAGTTATCCAAGATGATTCATACGATAAACAAGAAGCTATCTTATATCATTTAGATAGCAAACAAGAAATTATCCAAGATGATTCATACGATAAACAAGAAGATATCTTATATCATTTAGATAGCAAACAAGAAATTATCCAAGGTGATTCATACGACAAACAAGAAGATATCTTATATCATTTAGATAGCAAACAAGAAATTATCCAAGGTGATTCATACGATAAACAAGAAGATATCTTATATCATTTTGATAGTAAACAAGATATCTTTCAAGATAATTCAAATAGCAAACAAGAAATTATCCAAGGTGATTCATACGATAAACAAGAAGATATCTTATATCATTTAGATAGTAAACGAGATATCTTTCAAGATAATTCAAATATGAAACAAGAAGTTAGACAAGATTATTCTGATGATAAACAAGATATTATCCAAGGTCGTTTAGATAGCAAACAAGAAATTATCCAAGATGATTCATATGATAAACAAGAAGATATCTTTCAAGATAATTCAAATAGCAAACAAGAAGTTAGACAAGATTATTCATACGAGAAACAAAAAGATATCCTAAATCATTTAGATAGTAAACAAGATAACTCAAATGTCACACAAGAAGTTAGCCAAGATTATTCAGATGATAAACAAGATATTATCCAAGATGGCAAACAAGAAATTTTTCGAGAAGATTCATACGATAAACAAAAAACTATCCTGTATCATTTAGATAGTAGGCAAGGAGCTAACCAAGTTGACATAAGCAGACATGATGTTCATAATCCTTTAAAAACATCTAAATTAGCTATTCAAGATTCTCTAGATAACGTGGGAAAAGCATCACAAGATAATCCAGACAGGGCAGAAATGATTATTCAAGTCATTAAACGTGAAGCAGAACAGTTTGCTCGGGAAGATGAACAACAAGTTTCTGAAAATCTGGTTCTGAACAATGAAAAGGTAATAGCTTCTGGCTTACTTCTTTCTATTTAAGATGTCACAGTGTATCCAGATGTTAACTAAGGAGGAGGATGGTTACCCTTATAACTTGTTAAACTTGATATTGAATAACTCGCTGAAAACATAAAGAGATCTTTTGTGAAATGGATTATGTTCAATATAACAAATTTGTTTCGGGCTACAAAATTATTTTGTTGTGCTGTTGTTGTTTTTCCATGAAATAGATTTAGAAATTTCCTTTGTTTGTGAGTATTCTGTTTTTATTTCTTTTGGCTTTCTTAATTTATGCAACGAGTCTTATTTGCTGCGAACAGGATCTAGAAACTCTGATAGATCGCCTGCAGGAAGCTTACCACAAGGATGACAACACTATGGTAGTAAATTATGGTAGGAAACTTTTACAAGTACTTCAAGAACTGAAGACTGACGACGGAAAGATGAAAAGCCTCCAAAGTCCTGAATTTATTTATTTTCTACTGGACGGAATAGAATATTCAGACACTGAAGGTGACATACAAGTAACTGATGTGTATATCAAGCTGCTTTTACTTCTAAATCATGTTCGACATCCATGTTGTGTTATATTAGAAAGCATTCGTCTACGTGAAACTGCCGTCACTTTCACATCACGATTGACAACACTCTTTAAATGTTATGGTAAGAAATTGAAAAGCTGCTTCATACTAACTATACATATTTATCAAGTTTTTCTTAGTCTGCCGTAAAATAAATTCGTAATTTAAGTTTGTTCCATGATGTGGCATTTTGGTTACCTAAAATTTTCATAAGAGAGAAGTTAATTTCGATATCTATAAAACATCCTATAACCCGTCATATTTCCCAGAAATACTTTTTACATTGTCAAACTCCAACATCATGTTATTATACAATAGGGAACTTGTGTACTTTGGTTTCGTGATACTAGTCTTTTACAAATAGTAATTTGTTTACATTGTCAAATTCTGACACGATATTATTATAATGAAACACATAAGAACTTGTTTACGTTAATGAGATGTATGTGGGCGTGGCATAGTGGTTAGCCTTATTATATGAATATAAATAAACTTTTCAGTTGCAGGTAAAATGGAGGATGCTGACGGACAGCAGCTTCTCTTGTTACTGAACGATCTCTTCAGCTCAGATGCTTGTCAGATGTTTTTAAATACAGAGGTTAAAGCGTTGTTGACTGAAACCAGTCGTCACCTGGACAAAGGATGTACCTGTAACACTGATACATGTGCATTTTCAATGTTCCGGAACAAACTGTTGAATTCTGTCGATATGTATTGGTCTGCATAGTTCAGTATGCTTAGAAAAATATACTTGGCGAGTAAAATAAACATTGTGACGTGTTTTATCAAACATTTTATTTCACGCTATTTAACCTTGTATATATTTACGTTAATCTGTAACTAATTGTTTACACGTTTAACTGACTTTGATTTGATGATATAGGAACTTGTATTCTCAATTTCATTTATAGACAGTTAGTTGGCGTTGTGATATAAATATATCAAAAACTGTTGTGTAAGCAATTTATGTAAGGAATAAGCTCATGGTAGACTTTATGCTTATATATGTTAGAAAATAAATAAATGAAATATGAATAAGTGACTTTTTTTAAAGACATTTTTATTCATTTTTTCAATAACTTAATAGAGGAAATAAATACATTAGCAACAACATGGTCAAAGTATTCAAATGTAATAATAACCTTAGCCCCAATTTTAATGAGGGATCAGCCAAAGGTGAAAGATACGACAGTAACGAAAACTCAGTAGTGGTGACTAAGGTGAACAGAGAAAGGAAGAGTTCCAAATGGATTTCACGGATCTTCTACTTCTGTAGAGGAGAAAAAAGTTTTAAATTGAGGGAATAATTTTATTTCACACTCATAAAGTCTAGCTTTTAATACAGTGATATACAATTTTATTAAAAGTGTTATAATTGAAGGTATTTTAAAGATGATAATATGTTTTACATGATTATTCAATAAACAAGGCTAGAATCCTGGTTTCGATACCCGTGCCTGGCAGAGCACAGATAGCCCATTGTGTAGCTTTGTGCTTAATTACAAATAAACGGAACATTAAACAAGAAAATAATGAATGTCAAAATATTCGAGTACAGAACTAATGCAAGAAAAGTATTTATGACTGACCTGAACCCATGCTATAGAAAATGTTACTCAGTATACATAGTGGCCAGTGTAGCCAGGGATGTTCAAGTAGCTGGTTCCATATGCACCACCAGCATTGGCATGGCCAGTGGACAGTTGACCGTGAGCAGCATATCCATGGCCAGCAGTAAGGTCACTGGCACCATAGGCACCTTGACCATAACGTCCGTAAGCATTGAGGTTGCGAGAAGCAGAGTCATCGCTCAAACCATGGGCACTTCCGTAAGCACCGTGAGCCGCTCCGACATCACGATAACCAGCCTTCTTATCGAAATTGTAGGTCTTCTCAAAGCCACTACCTTTGTTACGGGCATAGGCACCCTGGTCATGGTGTGAGGCTCCAGAAGCACCAACAGCAGCATGAGCGTTCACATTACGATGAGCAGCGCCGGCATTCAAACCGGCAGCTCCGTAAGCTGCCTGGCCATAACGAGAATGTGCTCCAAGTGTACCATAGCCAGTCACACCGGTTGCCTGGTTCAGATACCCGCTTGCACCATGGGCGGTTCCATAAGCTGCGTGTGTAGCGAGGGCGGGATCATGGGCGTAGGCAATAGGTGCTTGGGCATAAGTGGTAGGAATATTGGCATAGGTGGCTGGCCCGACGTAACTTTCGGCAGACTCCAACTCCTCAGCACAGACGGTGGCAGCCAGCAAGAACACAATGGCGAACTGAATGGAGAATAAATAAGAATATTATCCATAAAGACTAACAAACTTTTTACTGAAAGAAAAGCATAAAATTATATTAAATAGTTATTTTATTATGTAACCATTATACTGCTTAGATTGATAAAAAATATCTTTATCAACTTGCATGCATTTATATTATCTATAATTACTTGTACGGGTCGTTTTATATGACGTTCATGAAAATTATTTCTCTAAAATTTAAGTTTTCGAAGTGAAACATTCAGCTCCAAAAGTAACAGCAGTCATTTCCTCCACTACTTTAACATTAAGGTTCTTTCAACTCCTTTTTTTTTACGATCACTCACCACTTTCATGATTAGAGAGCTTTGTCAACCTCTGACTCTGTGAAACAAGCAAGTAACAACTAATCGGTTCTACTACGCTGTATTTATACTGTTTAGGGCCACTAAAACGCTCGTGACGCTCTCTTTTCTTAATACCATGGCCAAAGGGTGGGAGACATGAAGGGTCAGTAGAAAAATCACATCATGTACCCTTGTTAACTGACATTCATTCTTTTCTTTATAATGAGGTCAGTTTCAGTGACACGCCCTTTTATCTAAAGCCTTGATGTGAACTACAGACCTGCAAGAAAGGGGTTATGGAGCGCACGGTCTGTCTGGCGGGAAATTAAATACCCTGATTTGAACTTTCCATTTTATGTGTAAGGAATTACTCAACTCCTCTGTCATTAGAAAAGTTTGAAGACCAATTTCTCCAAAGTTTAGAGAAATAAATTCAATACTGAGCTTCTGAAATAACCCACAATAATATTATAAAACATTTCTTTTCCACTTCTTAGGAAAATCAAGTCATTATAAAAAACTTGACTATTTCCGGGAGACGCCTTATTTTAAATTATGGTTGAACTTCAGTGGGGGAAGAAGAAAAAGGATAATGAATGTGAAAGGATAAGATACAGAGCTTGTATTGGTGAAATTTACTAAGAAATCTAATATATTGTATGAAATGATTTGCAGCAAATTTAAGTTATATATTATAAAACTGAAATAATTTATTTCTATATTAGATTTCACTTGATTTCAAAATTAAATAATTTTATGTTTTCACGTTAATTACGACATCACGTATAACTTTTAAATACAAAACTTTGTTTATATAACGACAATTTTGATTCATTTTTTCAAGACTGTTTTATGGTGTGATGTTTTTTAATTTGCTCCTAATTGTACATAAAATACATTAAAAACCTAGACATACTATATAAAAACGAAAATAGTTCTATACTGAAGCAGAGAAAATACTAAAGTAAATATTGTCTTTTTCTTTTCAAAGCGTTATTAGTTCCTATTCGCCAATAGCTCTTAGAATATTCATCAGTAATGTCGTGGGTTTTCTTCTTACTCATCTGGTTAGGAAAAAAAATCACTGAGAAAAGAAAGATAAATAGAAAACAAAAGCTGTTCGAGACACATGTGGGAACTTATACGTTATAACATTGGAGATAACATTATAACGGACATTGGAGCCAGAAAGAATGGCGAATGGATTTTCTTTTACAACTCCAAATATTTAGAGTCTGTAATACAGTATTTTTTATCACCACTGGTGTTCAGAAATATAACGAAAACTAAATATTCATTTCACTGTACATACAATGGGTACCACAGTGGTCTCATATTAGGTTTACAACGGTGTCGTTTCTCTATATCAGCCACTGTAAATACTAAATATGACTTTGTTAATCAGTAAATTATGTATGAAGCCAATTTACGAAACTAAAAAGAAACATTCGTTAGCATTTTGAGGCATAAAAATACAGTTGTAGTATGTTTAAATTACTTTTAAATTTTTAGGTTGTATTCATGTTCTCTGTTATTTAAACAGGACAAAAATTACCGTAGGGGTGTATTAAACTATGAAACAATAAAGCAGTACAGTATATCTTCGCCCGCAAACTGCTGACCTTTGCAGTGGTATAACATGAATAAATTGAATATGGATACATCGATCTTCATACAGCTTTAAGTTTGGAAAATTCTTTACCTTATAGTGCGTGTGTTATTTTATAATATACAATCAAGTGCTTCAGTGACTATGAATAGTAAAAACTGGCCAAAGATTTTGTGTCGATATTATATTGAATACTATTTTTTTTTCTTGGAGAGTAAAAAGTAAAAGGGAAGGCAGCTAATTTACACCACCCACAGCCAAATCTTGGGCTAATCCTTACCAATGAATAGTGGGATTGACCGTCACATAATAACGTCCCCACTGCTGAAAGGGCGAGCATGTACGGTGATGAGATTCTAACCCTAGATTGCAAGTCAAGTGTCCTAACTATCAGGTCTTTTACGTGAAATTTCTTTGAGTGAAGTAAATAAACTCTATAAATAATTTATATTTTGAGTAAACTTGCTGCTTATAGCAAAACTTCAAAAGTCATATACTTCATTTATAATTATAAGCATTGTGTTAATTTTCACTCAATTTTTTTATTAAAGTTGAAATTTTTACTTTTTACATCTTCTAATCAAGCTTTCAAATGTAATGCAAGTAAAAGTTCTGGTATATCTTGTTTGTTTGTTTTTTGTTTATTAAATGTGATCTCTTTCAGCATTTAATACATATATTTGTAAATTTATATTTAATTTCAAACCTCGTGGATAGACAATGAGAATTGAAATAATTTCTTTGGCACAAGTTATGTGATAATATCAGACTACTTGATTCAAAATAACACTTATACTTTTCAAAGTTTAATCATCTAGTTTTGGTATATGATCCGTTATATCTTCTAAGCAGATGAATCAGTTTGCTCTAATTGTTTTATGCATAGCCAAGAAGAAGAAAAATAAACATTCCAAAAGCAAACTGATTGTTACATATGGTTTATTATTGTCACTTCCTTGGTTGTTTTTCGTTCATGTTTGAGTTATTTAACGGTAAAATAGTATAGAAGTATGAAAAGAAAATCCTTGTGTTTAATAAACTTCAAGGAAAAACTGCCATATACTATCGAGAGCAAACCAAAGCCAATAGTTAAGAAATATTTCTTTTCGTCTTGATGCTATCTTTTCTTGTTTGTAAATCTAAATACTCAGTTTGTACAACTGAGACATTAGGATTATATATCATGCTTAATAACATCAAGTAACTCCAAACATTCGCATGTTAGAAATGACTTTTTAATTTATTAAAAGCGTCAGATGTTAATTGGTTTGTCACAATGAACATAATGGTATTGTATGATATTTTCAGATATTTAGTAGATGTACGTATAACTACTGCTTGATTTGTTAAGGCTGACATTGATATTACGAAAATAAAATATGCTTTTCGTGTAATCGTATTATCCTTATTTTTGTTGCAAATATTCAGTATTTACTTTGGGGTATATAATACAAATGTAAGATTACTATGCTGAATAAGTGACTCTGTAACTAAGTGAAACCCAGCTTATCTCTGAAGTGTTAAATCATAACGTAAAGAAGTTACATCATAGAAATGATATTTATCTCGAAGAAAGTCTGTGACAAAGTATTCATTTTCAAAGTATGATTACACTGAGAAGTGACGCAACCTGAAATAATTTCTTTTATGGAAAAATCGCCTCTATATAACTTAATATAAATTTAAAGTGATTATTAAATTCTCTCTACTGATCTTTCTACAATTTTCATAACAAGGAACATTGCGTTAACCGTTAATAATAACTGAGTCATAATAGTGCTTGTGCTTTTCGTTGTTCAACTTTTTATAACATATTAAATTCTAGGGTCTAAATAAATCGTTTCAACACAAGAAAAAGACTGACAGCAAAAGATGCTTACATAGAAAAATGATTATATAGATGCTAGGTTCACTAGAATGTCTGGAGAAATTCAAACAGCGTTTTGAGAATAACAAGAATATATCTACAAAATTGCAAATAACAGTAATTTATAACGGATACTAAATATTTTAATGCTTTTTCTTAATTGTCAAGATGCATAACTGAACATAATATATATTTTAAAATGTTTTGTGTAACAACTTCAATAATGTTTGGAATGTTATTTTTAATAACATAAAATATGATGAATAATAGTACCTACTTTTATTTCTTGTTTAAATTTTTACAAATTCAGAAGGTTTTTTGTGATTTCACTATCTTTAAGACAAGTTTGCATGCTGAGAGACAGGTAAATGCTTCGTGTATAACCTGTGTTATTAAGGGTAAGGATTGTTTGAAAGGTTTTGCTACTTTGTAACGCCCTATACCGGCGGATCAGGAATTATTTCATGTTTAACACCTCTTTGACCGCAACGTAAGAGACTGGAAGTGTGACGCCAGTCTGGACTTGGGCCGGTTTTGAGCAGTTGTGTTTGCTTAGAATGAAATATATATATATATATAATTAGTTTGTTAAGAAAATAACACAAAATAACCTGCAGATATGTTGTGGTGAACAATTCTAAGTTTGATCTAGTATATGGATAAATGAATGACAATATATATATATATATCAAGTCGAACAAACTTTCTTTAACTCTTTGAACAGAAAGAAGAAATAGTTCATATGATAAATAAATTAAATTTGGATTTATAATGTATAAATATCTGAATGTTGTTATAAAACCTAATCACCTGTATTGTAAAAACTCTGCAGGGTTGATTTGTAACAATGACACATAATTAAGATTAAACTTTGATCTTTTTTTCATTATTGTTACGTAAAATGTTACTTGAAATGTTTTTTATTTAACATGAATTTTATCACAAAACAGGGACACCTATAACATCATATGGAAGCAATATTATATGTGAAAATAACGTATGATGAGTGGATTCCGATTATTTTGTAAACAAAATCGAAAGAGATAATGATGGTGGCCTCAACTCAACCTAGAGGTGCCTTCAATTCTTCTTTTGTGTACACAATCACTTGAACTAATATAACACGACTCAGAAATACCAGTAGACTTGAACTATCTGTAGAATACATCAAGATTGATCGTACTTCATAGTAACATCTTCTTAAAATGTCTGATTTGTATGGTTGAGAAAGTAAGCGAAACATGAGTTGTTGTTGTTTTCTGAATAGAAATCCAAAGAGTATTGTTTAAGTACCTCATCAGGATGCAGTACAATTGTACTCGGAAATGAACCTCAACTTGTAGGTTGTTCACTAATCGTTCTGAGTGCAGATATAGTGATTGTAATACATAATCTACTTGTGAATTGAAAGCGGTAAATAATGGAAGTGAGACTTATTAAGTGAGTTAAGATAAGCTTAACTACATTATTTCGTACGTTCAGAAACATGGATTTAATAAAAACCTGGGAAATTTTAGTGTTATTGCAAAAAAAAAGTAGAGAATGACGATCAAAGAATAAAAATAC